TATTTTTGGTTTGGTAAGTTTAAACTATAATAATTTAAAAAAAGTTTTCCTATTCCTAAACTTTATTATTGATATTTATTTATGAAGACTTTTAAAACTTCTCGAGAACGCAATTGATTAATGCCATGTTTGTACGATGGCACATTACAGTTACTTATCTATAAATCATTATATATATAAACAAAATAGACTATGAATGTAATAGTTTAAACGTCATATCAATCGATATATAACAGTTTATAGGTGACGGTATTAAAATAGAAAAAAAGCTAATTAAACTGTAAGACCTAGTTAACCTAAGTCTCATTAARCCATRGCCAATTAATGATCAATTCGAGGGCCAAATAGAAATGTAGAGTAGGTACCAAAGTTAATAATATTATTGCCTTTGTATATAAGTCGTTCATCAGCCGATAAAGTTTGATAACACGGAGAACTTTGCTCGGTCACAAGTCATGATTCAATTTAGTGATATATTGATAATATTTTATTGTGTTCAATGGCAACCAATAAATACTAATTCAGAAGCCATGGCTTGTGAATAAAGTTATTGTTGGTCAATTTCGACAGTTGCCCAATTTTTTTTTTTAATCATAATTATATGTGACTGAAAATTGCTTCCACACATCCTCACGGTGATTTTGTAATTAACTTCCTAAAATTAACCGTAACTTTTTTTTTGGTGGTGGTAAATCGTGGCGCTACGAGTGGGTGCTTCGTCCTTGCGGGACAGTCCTTCCCCTAACCGTAACTATACTAACCAGCTATGTAGTTATTGTTTCTCTTAACGTGATAGGGTTGAATAAATAATAACACAGTGAGGTTGATTTTATGTATTGAGTAACTTAAGTATACATTTTTTAAATTTACACTAACCTATCTTGCTTTATAGCTATGATACGTTTTATGACATATCGAGTTTCAAGAACTAAAATACTTAAATACATATTATATTCATTGAAATTTTATAAGTAAAAGACTCATAGGATTAGTGGAAATTGATCAGATCAAAACCCATTGATGTATCCATTGTGAACGGAAAACAAACAGAATCGTGTGTTCGATTATCACTAGATATCAAGTTTCACCCRTGCTCTTTACGTACTTACTAGAAACTTCACTGCACCCCGCATGCTGTGGAATGAGAATTTTCAATAAGTGTGTGTTTTTGACACGAAAAACCTTCCCATAGTCGTTTAAAAGCACACAGCTTACTTTTTGATCAAAAGCTTGAACAAAATAGTGACGATCACAAAATAGTATAATCAAAAATAATTATATGTGTATAGTCATAGAACAACGAATCGTCTTTTGTCTAAAAATTAAATTTCTAATTAAAATCTATCTTTTTAAGCATCCAACTTGAGCCACTGATATCTATTTTTGATAAAATAATCTTAGTAATTTATTATTTCATCCGGAAAGGAAAACAATAGTATTACATTGGTATGGTAGATTCGTATATGATTGCAATTGATGCGKTGATCGAGATAAATGATTTATTAATGTATATTATAATTATTATGTAGCTTACAGACAAACTGATGAACTGCAATGCACTCGGATTTCAGAGAAAGTGTAACCATTCAACAGATCAGTCAAAAATTGTATACTTTATTAACTTAATTTCATTATTTATCGTATTATTCGTGTCATTAAATTACAATTTCCCAATTATCTAGACCAATTTTTAATTAAAAAAAGCACAAGAAATAATACAAGGCCGGTGAATGATGTATTATGTCTGGGTTGTATCGACCTATTTATGCACATGGGTGGAAAACCGTAACAATAATACAATTTTAATCTTACGAAAGAATCTTATCAGTTAATTATTTCATATTTTGTGATAATGAAAAACATATATTTAATATATTATTTATTTTTGAAAGACTTGTTTTTATATAGATATATAATTGTATTTTTTTCTTTTATGCATTTTATTTTACTACCTACCTATGTATTCAATTATTATTTAATTTGAATAAATCAACATGTATATGATAGTTATTGTTAAACCAGACATCTGTTTTACATTTATAAGTATAACTATGACTAGTTATAATACGTCTCATAACTAATTCCTAGTTTCCTAGTATAATATATTCAATTATTTTACACGACCTAATGTATTTTTGTTAAATTCATTATTTATATTGTATGAATGGTTAATGTATTATTAAAAATAATACAATTTTAATCAAATATTAGTTTTCTAATTCTTCTTATAATATAAATATATAACCGTGTATCATTATACATAAGTTATAAATACGTTTAGTTTTAACTGATTAAGTAAAGACAACATATCCGTGGCTTAATTATACACGAAAATATATTAACACGCCTACTACTGCATATATGCTTTCCTTAATAAATTCAATTTAAAAATCTTTTTATTCTAAAGAAAATCATCAACTACTTGAATGGAAGGTTTAGATTAGTTTTTAATTAATTTATCTGATTCAAAAATTTTATTTATTCCTCAAGAATGTAGAAGTCTCTTCTGAACATGTTCATGCGTGACTTTGTGAACTCAWTATAAGTGAACATGTACTTATTTATGAAACATATTTTTTAGAATTAAAATCAAAATTATTAGTTTATTTGTAATGCGTGGTATTAAGCATAAGTTATAGAAACCGTGTGTACCTTAATGCATGCCTTTGCATGGATTTAATTTAAATTTAAATTAATTCATTTTAGTATAATACATAGGATTATCATTTTGTATAATACGAGTATATATAATATAGTTGATRTATTGAAACTAGAATCTAATAAGTTAAAACAGTTCAATATGTGATGTTATTATTTATTATTATTAAGTATTCTATATCTATAATTACCTCTTAAAAGTTTTAAAAGTTAATTTTTTAAATGGTTTATTACATAACAAAAATATAATTAACGAGTAAAAATGGCATAAACATCATATAATTTTAACTTTATATTATATAAAGTTAAGGTTACAAGTTGTCAGGTAGATACTTTTTTTAACAGTTGCCATTACGTGTCCCGTATTAAAATAATAATACG